AGAATCAGACTTCTGTGTTCATGAAACAGAAAGTCGAGCACAAAGTCCACAGAAGAGTGAGTGAAGCAGAAGACAGGAGGGTGGCTAGTCAGATTTCCTTAGCAAAAGCCACAGGCCAGAGCCCTGAGTGAGGCACTGGGTGCACAATGAAGAAAGGCTTGGATCTGGCATCCAGGGACAAAGATGTAGCTGGAGAGACCACTCAGAGGCCCATCTGTCACACAATGAAAAGTTAAGTGGTTCACATGTTGTAAATCAGAATCAGGTGCCACAGATTCCCACCTTCGGAGGGAGACCCCAAGGGTGTTCCTCAATACCAAAAGCAAGTTAGTCTGTGCTGTTTCACAGAATTGCTACATCAAAATTCAGCTTCCAGCAGCACGTGTCTTAGAACTTTTATTCTTATCTCATCCTCAGAAAACAGCATCATGCAATGGGACAGCCAGATATGTAACAGAAGGTACAGTCCTTTGCTAGTCCATTAAGTTATTGTGAAGGAAGAATTCCCTGGACTAGTTGCTACCTTAAATGAGAAATTAATGGACACACCCTCATCAAAATTGCTTGGTGATCTGCAGTTTTGAGAGATCCTTAAGCAATGACTCGTACAGGGCTGGGTAGCTCAGCCTCTATTGTTTCTCCTGATTACTCAGTGTCCTGCTGGCCACACCCTTCCTCTCCCAGAAGTCCTGCCCTTGGGTGAGAGGATACTGCTCTAGACCCATAGGCAGACATATTGCCCCTCCCATGTGTTAAAGGGCAACTGCCCTGTCTGCCCTGTTGGTAGCCTCTGTGTTCATAGTTACCTTTTGAATTGGACCCATGGGTCTAGAATGTGAAGTACACACCTCACGTCTTCACATCCCAACCCCTAGCTCCTTAGTGTCCTTCACGTAAGAGCCACTCAATACACCTTTGCTGGTTGAACACAGTTGTCTTTTAAAGGAACATGGCATGGAAAATACATGAAGGAGATAAACATAGAGACTGGATGCTATTTTGGTTTTGTTTCCATTCACTTGATCTGTTCATGAATATGTGGGTATACAAGTTCTGTCCATGTTACAGGGTAGAATCCTGCTTGGCAAGACTTGGTCACTCCCCAGGTCACATGGAAAAAGATGGAGAGCTAAACTGCATTGAAAGCAAAGTCAAAATGTCAGTGAAAGTCAAAATGTAAGGGAGGCTTTCAGCACCACAGCAATCTAGACAACATGGTAAGCAGTGAGGAAGCCAGGTTTGCAGTGTCAAGGTACAAAATTCTAAGTCACAGTCCCATCTTCTTACTTGGTACTTGTTTGATTTTAGGGAGATTCCCCTCTCTGGGCCCCAGCTTCCATGTCTATAAAATGAGAATTATTGAGTCTATTTCAGAGAGTGGTTTTAAGGATTTAATATTCCTATGTATACAACATCTTTAACACAGTTACTGAATAATAACTGATAATACTATTTACCTAGTTAATGTCATTATTACCTAGTGTCTGATAGTCTGGCTTCAAACAATTCCTAGTGACGCACTCTCAATTAGTGAAAACTCTACACACCTCAGTTTCCTCATCTGTAAAATGGAAATAAAATAGCACCTATAGGACCTTCCTGGTGGTGTAGAGGTGAAGTCTCAGCATAATCACCACTGCGGTGGCTTGAGTTCAATCCCCAATTAGGAAGCTGACTCAGAAATGGCACAGCAGACCAGACCTCTCCTGCCTCACCTGCTGCTGCCCTTAGCAATATATTTCAGTAGATCTGCCTGTCTTGCTCCCCACTCTGTCTTAGGTGAATCCTCTCACCCCCTGCACCTCTGGCTTATACTCCAATTCTGCTATGCATAAATAAATCTTTAAAAGTAAATTTAGGGTTTCTTCTAGGGTCAAAAGTTAATGGTATGGCTAAGGGGATGGCTAAGACATTATACAAAATAATTAGAATATTTCCTAACACATAGCAAATGCTCAATAAAAAATTTGCTAATACTATGTGACCTCACCCTTTTTAAAGAATATGCATCCTGATCTATCAGCAGAAGTCAGAAACAATAGGAGATAGCAAATAGTTTGTCATTCTTTTTAGACTGTCAATGCCATGTTAAGCAGGAGGTTTTCCAATACCTTTAGAATTTACTGGATAAAATAAAAGGTTAATAGAAAACTTTCCTCATATTAAAATCTGCTGTCAAATCTTTCATTCTTTCAGGACTGAAAAATATCCTCAAAAAATAAAACTGGTGAGAACAAAGCAGAATAAAATGAAATTAGAACAAAAAGTCCTCTGCTGGTTGAGAAGAAAACTGCAAGTATCGCCTTTATTGTCACCCACAGCAGAGTGGACAGACTGGGTGGCTCTCCAGGGTGGAGTAAGACTTCAGTGACTACTTGTGACTTGTGTAGTTTAGTTACATGCAGAATAAAAAGAAAGAAGGATAGGAGAAGAGGGAGGAGTGGGGAGAAATATAAAAAAAAAGAAAAAAGAGATGTACATACACAATACAAACAAAAATAACCCAGGACACTAAACCACTGGATATTGCAAACTGGAATCAGGTTACCTGTAAATTTAGCTATGTGTATGCAAACAAAAGACATTCTGAAATTCCTACTTGTTTCTCTGCACACAAAATTGTAAAATGCAAGGCCTCTGTTTGCTGTTTGAGAGCTTCCACTACACAAAAGTACACCCAACCCTTCTGTGTTCTAGTGTATTCAAGCCTGAGAATGAGGGTCACCCTGTAGGTGCACAAGTATCCTGTGTGCAGGTTTCCTGCCACACCTGTTCACATCCTAAATCAGGCCCCTGGCCAATGGGTTGATGTCAATGAGGTCCCAGCTCCCCTTAACCCTGCTCTCCAGGGCACCATCCACTGGGAGGGTCTTCCTGCACATCAGGAAGATCTCCAGCCCTAAGGGCTAGTAGGAGATGTTCCAGAAGAACCTTTGTATGCCAAGGTTGGGTTAGATTTAGAGAGCAAACCCTGCCATATTCCACTTTCTCCATTTACAGCCCCACAAGACCATTGTGTTTAGAAAATATAAACATTAATAACTGAAAGAGATAGGGAGGGGGACCCCAGAGTGAGAAAAAGGCATGGAAGGAAAGACAAAGAAAGGAAAGTGAGCAAGTAGTGAAGGATAAAGCAATTTTAAAGAGATGCTGCTCTGCAGCAGGCCCATCCCCTGGCTCTGCATCTGCTGGGCACAGCCACTGCCTCGAGATTCCTGCTTCTGATAAGGAGAGGGGCTGCCTTCCACAGTACAGATCCTGGCCACCCTAAACTTCTCATTGTTCTGGAAATGTGGGTGCCACTCTCCACTGGGCCCCTTTGCTATTTCTTTATTTCCAAGTCTCTACAGAGCTGATCACCTTCCGTCTTCTCCTTCAAAATACCATCCCATCTGTTTCTAAAATGATCTTCACGTGAGAATGTTTGTTTTACTTCTTGGGGGTTAGTCCTTTAAGCTATGGGTTAGAGACAAACGGACAGGCAGAGAACGCTGCATTCCATTAGTTATATTGTTTAAGAGATCCACGTTGGTTTTCTTTTTAAGTAGTCTGAAATCACGGATCTCCCATGAAATCTCCTTATAAAGCACATACACCGTTACTTCAGGGTGGGAAGCAATTAGATATTTAATCTCAGTTCAAAAGGGTCCTCAGTGAAAGAAGTGGGTTTTCTGAGCCAGTAAGTAACTAGGAGTTCACTGGGGCCAGGTGGTTTAGCTCCACAGAGACAAAAGAGTGGAGATTCTTGTGGGTCTTGAATGGGTTCTTAAATCACACACGTCCTTAGGCAATGTCCTGACAAGTGAGACCAGTGTGCCAGTGATTCTCAACATTTTCTATTCTGTGGATATTGCCTTAAGTGTACCATCCACAGACAATCTGATCTTAGAAGGCTGGGGGAGGGAGGTATAGAACAATGGACACCCACATTATCTCTTCTAGAATCTTCATATGCAAGGGCTGGGGATATTGCCATTCTGCCTTTTGGTTAGCCATCACACAGTTTGGAAAAGTTTATTTAAGAGGGCATATTAAATCACACAGATGCAAGGAAATCAGTCCTCCCGTGAACCTTCTTAACTTCGGCTTTATGCTGACTCTTGTAACATTCCAGAGAATTTCCCATTATAATCACTAATTCTGTGCCATCCTCCTGTGAGTGTTGTGGCTGTGGGTGCTGGAAATTGAGTGAGCATTTCTGTATTCAGTGATCACAAAGATAGATTTATCCTACATTACACAAAACATAGCTAAGATCCTTCTTCTCAGCTCCTGTAAGTCTTAAGCCCAGAAACCAATCAGGACCCAACTCAACACCAAAACCTAGTTTCTGCTCTGTAGATGAGTTGTGCATATATGCTTTGTGGATAGCACCAGAAAGCACAGTTAACCAGAGTAAATGGTCTTGTCCATGGATGACTCAGATTCAGATCCCTGGCTTCGATGTCAGAAAGCCATTTGAGGCAAGAGAAAGCATGTCCTTCTGCCCACCAGCTCATGGCATGAAGGCACCACAGCAAAGTACAGGCACAGCCATGCCCAGGACAAAACAGCAGCTCTGCCAGAGAACAGAAGGTGGTTGGCAACTCCCCATCCATGGTAGAGCGAGGGCATTCACCCAAAGTCAGATCTATCCTTTGGGACACCTTAACTTCAAAGAAAACTGTTTAAGCTGAGTTCCAGTCAGGCACCCAGTCACCATAGGTCCAGGTCCCAGCACAGACAGTGCCCAAGCCACTGTCCTCGTACTCCCAGGTCCCACCATTTACCAAGTCTGAGTCAAGGATACCCGTGTTGGTAAAGCACCTCATCTCCCAAACCTCTGAGCGTTTCCCTGGAATTATCGCGTTCCAGGGCGAGCACCAGTTCATCCATGGTACTGTGAAGTCCAGGAACCTTCTAGCCAGCAGCGTCAGTCTGCCCACCTGCACCCCTGCCCCTATCCCCTAACCCCCCCATAGAAATCATTGTCAACGCACATAAGAATAGCAGCTCCCTACCTGAGGGTGGCGCTCTCCCCCTGCCGGACCGTCACGTTGTCCATAGCTTTGGGGAAGGTGGCATCTCCGCTGCGCACCGGCACTCCTGTGGGTACAAGGAACAGCAGCCTGAGAGACACGACCACGAGGCACTTCCAGGGCAGGAACAGGTACCCACAGACCCCCATTCTCGACAGCCGCAACTTCCCAGAACTCCGGAGGCCAGGCACGGCACACGCCCCCCGGGCGAGCACAGGAAGTGGGTGGGGTAGGGGAGAGAGCACTGGGACCAAGCAGTGAACTAGCAGCGACCGAGAGGCGCGGGGAGGAGAAAAGCGCGCAGACTCCTCCAAGTCTAATATTCCTCCCCAAAATCCAGCCTCAGCGCTCCAGCCTCACAGAACCAGTTTCCACGGAGGACATCAGAAGGGGGCTTCCTGGGTGCTGCTTCAGCCAGGGAAGGTGACCGAGAGAGGGAAGCGCAAGGCAGGTGCAGCGGTGTGGGCACGTCTCAGGAGCCCCTTCTTCCCGTTGACAGTTCAGATACGGCACTTTGGAGAGGAGTAAGCACTTTGGTACCAAAAGGGGACGGGGTGGGTTAGATCCGTCCACCCCGAGGTTGTCAGCAATTCCTCAGCTCAAACAAGGGCAAATCCAACACTTTCTTTGTAAGTTTCGGAGGAAAGATTGCCAGTAGAAGATAATCTGTAACAATAGCTGAGATGGAAAGTAGAGCGCGCAGGCGGCAGGCGGCAGGGGGGTGTGCTGGGAGATGGCTACGCCGGGCTTCGTGCGATCCGGACCCCGGGATCCTGCTGCAGCCTCCCGGTCAACTTCCTGCCTGCCCAAATGCGCGCCTCCGCCGCGGCGATCCGGCCAGTCTCTGCGGGGACACTAGCCGCGGTGGCGGCCGACGCAGGAGAGGACAACCGTGGCCCTTCTCTGGCTTGCTCGCTCTCTCGCTGGGGAAGGCGAGGCGCAGCCGGCACCGGAGCCGCGCGGACGCCACGCTCAGCGGCCGCCCCCGGTCTCCGCGCCGCCTTCCTCCCGGGAGCAGCCCCGACGCGCGCGGGCCCCGACCGCCGGGGTTGTCATGGCAGCAGCTCCATCACTGACCGCCACTTTCTCCGGTGCCGGCGCCGAGCGAGTAGAGCTGGAGGACTGCGCTCATCCCGGCAGGCGGGCGGGCCGGTGCGGGGCGCGGGAGCCCACCTTAACCCCCGCCGCGCCGCAGCGCAGCTGTGCAGGAGCCAAAGCGAGGAGTTTAACCATTTCCCCCCTCGAAGGGCTGCCACTTCCAGATTAAGAAAGGGGCAAGTTACCACACAATCTTAGTAAGTCCCAGACATCAGAATAAGTGTCACAGACTAAGTAGGAAAGGAAAAGCCTGCTATAGGCATCCATGGCACCTTTAAAATTATTAGATTAATTCCATTAGCATTTAGAGTAAATGTAGAGTGTTGGGGAGTGTTTTAGAATAATGTCACTTTTATTCATAAGCCACACTCATCACCCCCACCCTCAAAGCTGTTTAAAGAAACCCAGAAGACACCGACATTCTAAATAGACTTTCATATACAAAACATGTGAAATCACAGAAGCCTCTTCGTGTGCGAAAATGGCAAAATTTTGGTCAAGTGCAGACACTGACATATTCTTTATTCTCGTTTTGTCGACATTAAAAGATGCTAGCCTGGCAAAAGGGCTCACTCAGAGGAATGAGTGTGAACCACCTGCTTTATTGAAACCATGGACTCCCAAGTTTCCTGGACTTCACATGCTTGTGGAGTTGACTTCCTCTAAGAAGTATGTTTTCAAATTCTCAAAACCCTGAGAAAAACGGGGTTTCTTCTCTCTCTGGCTGCCGTGGGTCCTTCTATACCTGCATATTCATTTCTCTTAATTTTGGTGCTGAAGGAATGTCAGGCTTCCCCTTCCTGGGACTGCCTGTGAGAAAGTTCTCCAGAACAACTCCACCCAGGCTGCTACCATTAACATGTGCTAGCACACATGTTCTTGGGGACTCCCAGATCTGAGCTCCCAGACAGAACAAATCCTCCCTGGGGATGGTGAGGGGGCAGGAATGGTTTTGATTTATTTGCTTACACTTTCTAACAAATCTAAACAGCTCTTTTTTTTAATGGTTAATTAACAGGGAAACTATGTTCTTCCCAAGCATCAGCCAGTGAACACCAAACGGTTACTATAAAGATAAAGGTTCTGGGCCCTCCTTGATGGTGCAGTGGGTTAGGGCGCAGCACTGCAAGCTAGCTGCAGTTGCTTCAGTGCTCCAAAGCCGGGTCAATGCTCTGCAGCTGCTTTCCTGTGAGTTCGATCCCCAGCCCAGAATGTAATTCACATGGTGTGGCAGACCTTTTCTGACTCCCCTCCGTCTGTCTGTTCCGCTTCCCACTCTGTTTTTGATGGATCCTCTCACCGCCATGCACCTCTGGCTTGTACCTCAGAGGTATACATAAAAAATAAAAATCTTAAAAAAAAAAAGATAAAGTTTCTGGTGCCATGAAAGACCAGGTACATAGAGGGAGCAAGATACCAGCATTCCACCCACTCTGGCCTCCTCATTGGAATTTCTGGGGATTGGTAAAGGAGGAAGAATGCTGACGAATGTGACCTCATGCTTCCTCTGTGACAATGGAAGGCTGAGAAGACTTATCTATCTCTTTGAATAGTTGACCCAAAAGTTGAGCAACTACATACTAAAGATCTCAATTAGCCAGTCCTGAGGTCTATTTTCCCCACATCTCCCTTGATAACTTAGCCTGATATTAAGTTCTCAGGGAAAGCCATATGCTACTTTGGGCCAGTAGGGACCATTTGATTTATAGCACCAAAAAAGGAAAAAAAAAATCAATTGTCAACTTATGGCCACAACAAATGACTTTACTCTCAGGGGAAAAAAAAAAAAAAAAAAAAAAAAAAAAAAACCTGACATCTAGGGGGAGGAGGAGAGTTTTGTTAACATTTTTAAACAAAAGGAGAATTAACCTATTGTACACCAATCCATTTTTGCATAACACTGTTTATCTCCATTTTACAATGGGAAATTGTGAATATAGGAGATTGAGTAATTTCACCAAGCAATGATGCTATGTGAGAACAGATGTAAGCTGTTATGTTCAGATATGTTCACTGACTTTCGGTCTGTTGACTTTGAAGCTCTTTCTACCCAAAGCTAAGGAGTTATACTAATCACCAATATTCCATCTATCCATTTGAACCATTCTTTATACTCCCTGCTAGCCCTTCTTTATAAAGACATCCTTACCACCACAAATGGAAATAAACACCAATCGTGAGGCAGGGAGAAGGGTCCATTCTCGACTTTGAAATCATTTCCCTAAAGGTTTGAAAATGGCAGAGATGATTTCTTTCTGGGTAAATTGTGATCCTGGTTCTTGCATCTAATTCCCAGGTACGTACAAATGAGCATTAGTTTTTGCATCTAGGAATGTGGATAATGACAACAGGCCTTCCCGAGGGGCTACATACATGATTAACTCTACAGTAAAATACTTAGAAATCCATTTAAGGTAGAAGATGCTTTACTAATACATTTTGCCTGTCACTGCTTCATTATTATGGCTGGACAGATAAATAATTATTCTTATGGGCCCTGTAAGATGCTCAGTTTATACCAGTGTGCATGCAGTTGCTCTAAAACAATCAAGCCATCTTTGTCTCAGGCTGTGAAGGAAGGGCGTTGGGCTGCTGCATTCCAGAGGTGGCCAGAAGAGCTAAGGTAACCTCAGGGTGGACAAACAGAAGTCACTAGAAATCTCACACCTGCTTGTGAACCCAGCCATACAACCTGATTCAAAAATGGAAATTGAGAGAGAGGTGAAAGGTCAGAGATGCCCACACAATTAGGGCAGCAGTCTCCATTTTATTCAAACTTGTTATTGAAGTGGTTTGAAATGATGAAGATCAAAATCTATGTCAACTCCCTTCTCTTCCCCTAATCCCTAAATATAACCAACACTTAGTGGCTTATCTTATATCCTGTCTCTTGCTTCATAAAAACTGCTGGATTTATTTTATTTTCCCCAGCATATCCGAGTTAATGAAAAAGGGATGACAGTCAGAGCAATTTCATTATTTGTGTTCTTTATAGAAACAACTTCCTTTCTGCCTCCTGGAAAGCAGATTCCTAACGAGCGCCCACCTCCACCTTCTCCCCCCATCTTCCTCTCCTTCCCTCTTGCATACACATATACTGTACACATAAATCAACTTGTCACAGCTTGTCTCTGTGCTGACAGCTGTAATTGCTTCAGGTTATAAAAATATCTATAGGACAATGCCTTTCAAGCACACACACGCACACACGCACACACACACATTCACGCACTGCCCGAGCAAAAGAAAACAATCATATTTCCCTTAATATTGCTATGACTGCAAGGGAGGGGGTGTGGAGCATGTGGTGCACACTCAGGAGTGCTGGCAGGCAGGCGAGGACATGGGAAGATAGAGACTTCTGGCAGTAGTAGCATCTATGCACTAAAGGAAGGTTGAAGGTGAGAATTCCAGAGAAAAGGGAATCAGCTGTTCTTTTTGTTTCACTTGGTGTTCCCTACAGCAAGCAAGGCTCACCTAAACAGCCATGACTATTCTGCACAAGTGAGACCCAAAGAAGAGCACTAGCTTAAGAAACAACAGTTCTGCTTCTCCTTCTCTAAAAAGGCTAAAGGCCCCCCTCTCCTGGTGGAGATTCTAAATAGGAGTGCAGGCAAAATGAGAATGCAGGGCAGTTAGAGTGGCATGGAAGCTTCCATCAGAGAAGGTGCTATCAATCTGGGTAAAAACACCCTCTAGGGGAATATGAAGGGCCAGATTCTAGAAAATGCATGCAATTTCACCTTTCATAGGATCAAATTAAAATACTGTTCATCCGGATTGTGGTGCAGCTTGTTAGGATTTTAGCAGGACGAGCAAAAGAGCAACAAGAAGGGGAAGAACCTCTGGGGAGAAATGAGAGGTCATTTCATCAGGGGAACTGAGAAGGAGCAGCACGAGAAGAACTAACAAAGATTAGGATATCTATGGACTTTGAAATTTTCTAATAGATGCATAAGACAGGAAGAT